AATCTTCAAAATCTTTTTCTCTTCTTCATATAATCAAGAGTAATATAAACGCATAAAGTCAAATTTTAAAAACAACGTCAATTAAAAGAAAAATATTATAAAAGTTATATTAATATATTTGTTTTTTTTTTAACTGAAGTTGAAAACTGTAAAGTTTTTACAGACACCCGTCCTTAGTTTAGTACCTAATAAAATACACGAAATTGATGGATCACTGGCATTAATATCTTTTATGCGAGCTTAAAAATAAATATTAAAAAAACACAAGCTGTCAACAGTTTTTTAAATGTTTGTAACTTTTATCCTATCCATTTTTTTCTACACGTTGCCAAGTTTTATTTAGTAAAACTTATTCATATAAATATTTTAGTAAAAAAAATCAAAATTACAAAATTTATAAATACAGTTGTTTAACTAAAAATTGTTTGAGTAAAAAAGTGTTATTGTTTTCAAATTAAACTAAAAATAATGTGACAAGAATTCCCTTTTAAACTTTTTTCCATACTACGTTTTCACTACGGTGTTGTGCATATGGTTGTTTATTGTTTGCTATGCATGTATATCATTATTAGTTTACTGCATTTCTTTTATATTTTACCAATCAGCTTTACAAATAGCCAACTAAGATAATACTAACCCCTAGTAATTACCACTATTACGTTATTTACCTTTTGTATATGACCCGGTAAATCTAGGGTAAAGCGGCGGTTGGGTTCGAAATTAAATACCGGGATATATGTAGTCGAAGCACTAGTCAATTTAGTAGCGCGTTATGGTAGCTGGTAAATAAATAATTAATAGCTGCTAAAAATATATATCTCCAAGTAAATTGACCGGAAGGATAATTTTAATAGTCAGCCAAATGGATTTAAAAAAATCAACGAGAAAAGTTGTTCCGACAATAGGTAAAACACCTGTTAATCAATTAAGACGCTGACTTTTGTTATGCCAGATCAACACTTCGTTAAAACCTAGTTTTTTTCATCTCGTCCAAAGCGGTCATATTCACTTCACAACACTTTGTAATAGTCAGGTTGACAAAATAAAAACTGTCGGGGAACATATCATTACAATATACAGCAACTGAGAAAAAAATGTAACTTTTCAACATAAATTTGCTCGATAAAAACTGCAATCGACATAGAACCATTTTTTTTTTTTTTAATGATTTAAACTGTTTAAAACCGACAATTCGAAGTCTATAATAATATCTAAGAAAGTGTTTTCTACGACCTGCACTGTGCTTGTATACACTTTCTGCGTTGCATTCTATTTCGTCAGCCTACTACATAATATATTAAGATCTATTATTTCTGTTACATACAGATGTGCAATTTTCACCGAAATGTTGTTTCTATATTATTTACACATAATACAACATACGTTTACTTCGCACGTTATTTCAAATAAATAAATATATTCCAAACACAATATTTTACATAAGTCAGGCGAGGACGTTTGGCAAATTTAAACAAAACTGCAAAAAAAATAAAAATTGGTCTCCATAATATTATATTAATACAAAGCATCAATGCGCGAGACCTGACCAGGATTCGCGACGCACTTACGTGTATATAACAATAATATAGTGTCAGGTTGAAAACGCTCGCACCCCCCTCTCAGGTACATAACAAAATACAATATGGTCTATTTTTTTATTTTACATTTTATAGTTTCGTCGTCGAGTAATTTTGCAGGCAATTCTGCGGACATCCGTATAATGTTTCTGAATCTAGGTATCTAGGTAAACTCATTTTCGCACATTTTAGACTTGGCCAGTTTTTTTCCCGAGCACCATCGAATTATTCGAGTCTGGGTGTACGAAATGGTTTAACCGTTTGAATTATTATTACCATCGACTGCTGAGATACAGACAACTTAGACAATGTGTAATAATTGGACAAGCAATTCGTACAAGAGTTTTGGTTGCTTCTTGTTTCTTATATATTCAATAAAATATGGATAAAACTCCGGCATATTTTTGTCTAATTTCAAACGTGTCTGGCGACTTAACACGACCGGTCTGGTCGTTAAACGTCCATCGGTCTCACACGCGTTCGTTATTACAAATATGGCCGCCGACTTGACCGGATAACGAATAAAACGTGTTCTGAATGATTGATCAAAATGACAAAATCGTCCTGCGGTATTCCTCGATCATTCTGTTCACGCGCCGGCCAAACGTGGTTGTTCCTGGAAAGTTGTACGCCGTCATACAGGATGATCGGTTAACTATGTGCCAGTCAATGTGTTTAAAGGCAATACACTTTTTTTTAGTTTACTGATTTTTACATTTTTACGGTTATTTGTTACTCGTCAGCCTAAATATATGACCTTATGTGTCGAACCCTCTAATGAACTCGATTTAAATAAGTCTAGTCTATCTCCTGAGATATTAACTGGGTCATTGTTAACCAACCACCCTTTGTATAGTGTCATCAATTTTTTCTAATACAAAAATGTCAGTAAAAAATAGCTCGCCAAGTATTGGTTTGATTAAATTTCGTCTGGTCAGGTTTGGTGTAGTTCATTTCCCAAATCATACGGTCTACCGACCTAGGTTATTTATAGGTGTAATAATATTAAGTTTAATCAAAGCTGACATATCTGCTTACACTTGGAATACTATATTAAATTGTTATACCTACTATACACAAATAGATTCTTACTCTTAGGCCTGTTGAAATTCAAATGGCGCCTTACAAGTTGACGCACAGAGATGATAAAAGTTGTCAAATGTATTTAAAGCCGTTGGAAATATAGACCACGATGAGTTGTAGCAGTGATAATAATTATTAAATTCCTTTTCTTTGGCCTATTATATAGCTAGAGTCTGTGCTGAGTTGTGTTTCCACTCGCCATGTGCCTCCTTCAGTAATAATAATTATTACTGAATTAAGTCGCGGAAAATATTTCATAAATGGAAGTAATTACGTATAATCCAAACTAGACGGTGTATTGCAAGTAAAACGACTAAAACGTTTAATATTTATACACTTCTAGACTGTCTTGTGGAAATAACGATTTGTCCGTCATATTTTATGAACCATGAAGTTCTTTGCATACTAAAACCGTTGCGAATAAGAGTCGACGTTCAATTTTAATAACACAACCGAAGGCGTTCTCATAAGTCAAAACGGGCGAAAAAGATTAAATACACTTCACGTTCAATTCTATAATAATGTAAACACTGTATGTGTATTAATAGCGAGCGGTTTACTTACTAGATAATGTGTATTGTACGAATGAAGGTTACTCAAGAGGTTTTTCACTTTCCACGTGTCAAATTATAATAAAAGACACCGAAAACCGATTAGGTTAAAATCTTCGCTTCATATCGAATACATAGTGTACACACACTGTGCGTATTCATTAAAAAAATGTAAAAGAAATTCTGTTTTCTAACCATCAGAAAAGCATAGAAGCAAATACGGGGGGGGGGCTAGGGTGGGCTTAGCCCCCCCCCCCAATGCTAGACAAAAAAAATTAGGTTATGCATCAAATTTTAAAATACAAAAATATATTTACATTTAAAAAAAAGTCCAGTTCCCCCCCCCCCAAGTTAAAAATTGAAATTGCGCCTATGCAGAAGAGGTCGAAATTATGTGCACAACATGATGAATTGCAGTTGTTATAAAAATATGGTTTTTCCACCAAAACCAGGACCATGGTGGGAAAACCATATTGCATGACTTTTATAATGTTATAACTCTTCGATGATTTTTCTTTGGTTGGGTTACGGTAGTTCTGTGGAAAATAAATTTAGCTGCATTTACAAGCATTCGGTGGTTGAATATAATAGGGTTTCGGTAAAGTTGCATTATTTCTTTGTAAAAAAAAAATAATGTTATAAGCTAATTCTGCGATAACCCTAGAAAAACAAAACTCAAGTACCAATTACGAATCCTCGCTACCGTGGTGCTTATTGTATACTTAGTAACACTATAGTTAAAACTTGAAATTCATTTTCTATGTTAAGTTGTTCGCGAGTCAGGTTAAGTTTGGTAATTGGACGTGTTCCGGGCAAACAATTCACATTGAAATAATTTACAAGCCGGAATGAGCAAAAACGAAAACGGGTTACGGGGCATCATTTTCGTGGCCCTGGTGAAAAACCAATATTTGATTTCTAGTAAAACACACAAAAACAAGATGGGTAGAAGAAAAACGGCCGAGTAATTTCCAAAGCCCGCCGTTATTGTGTATATATAATAATGTAAGACTTGGTACACGGGAAAGCAGATGTTTTTAAGTGTACAGCATATAGTGATAAGGTATATTATCCTTGGAAAGGAGCGTGAGGAACACAGAGGAGAAGGACGTGCACGGTCGTGGATCAAGTAGATTTGGAACACAAACGTTATTAATTTTTATAGGTAACAAAATAATAATAACGTATAACATGGCCGGTGCGCAATTACCGGAGCGGTGTTTTTGGTTCGGTGAATTTTTCCACGTTATGTAAATCGTAAAAAGATAAAATAAAACATAACAATAATAATAATTTTAAAACCGTCTTAGAAGAGGTAAAGTCGGACGATTAGAGGCGAGTATTAGTTCGAATTTCACGTTTAGCGTTAACGTTTTCCAGACCATTCGATACATAGTGTACATAGTGTATCCAATTGAAATGGCCATTACTTTGTGTATCGAATGAATGATTGTTTTTTTTTTTTTAACTTCAAAATTAATAGACTCGTTGCCAAAAAAAGGATAAATTTTTTTTTTTTAAAACTTCATTTGGCCTATACTTGACCCCTTGAAATTACATAAACGTTCTCCGGGGAAATCATCTGTCTGGGCTTTATAGGAATTAAAAGACATATTATAATATATACATTGTTTTTATCTTGATGAGATAATCTGGATATTATACACAACCCTGTTTGTCCCGGATCCGACTTTTTAATCTTCTAAGACAAGTTGTCGATACGGTTATTGTTTTGTATACTAATTTAGTAATTTACGGGCGTTGCGTTGGTTGTACGGAAACGCGTTAGGTGGTGGCGTTGTAATCGGCCAAATGGACCGTTTGCGTTCAACTTTCAAGCGGTCGCGCACGCCCACGGGCGCCGAGATGAAGATGCAAAACAGCCTGGAAGTGCCCAAACAGGTGCGGTCGGTGTCGTTCGACGAGATCAAACTGGGCTGTTCCAAGCGGGACGACGACGCGCGCAAGTCGATGACCAGCGACAGCTCGCTGGACGGCGTGTCGTCGTCGTCGCTGCGCGTGCCCACCGGCGGCGGACAGCGGTCCAGGAGTTTCGACTCGTCCGCGGACAAAGAGGACAGCACCGTATTCCTGGAGGTGCCGTCCTCCAAACACCAGCTGTTCCACCGGCGGCGGTCGTCCGGCGAGAAGGTGCCGGCCGCCGCCGCGTGCGTCCACTGTGCCTATCTGGAAGAGCTGTCCAAGATGAACCGATCATCGTCTGGCGATGAAAACCAAAGGTATACCCTCGTATTTCCCCCGAAACGGCGGCCATGCAACTACTCCCACCATTGAAATTGTCCAATCAATTGTTCCTCGATTCCGTAACTTGTTCATGTCATAGAACAGTTGTTAGAGTCCCAAGAATGTATGTCCAAGTATGATAGTGAATGTGCTTAACAGATAGTGTCTGAAAATTATCAGTAAGCATAAGAGTTCACCGCCATTAGAGGTCCCGACTTGTGGATTGGTTAGATTAACTGTGAAGGTTATGAATGAGTACATCAAATGTAGTTAAGGAGTTATGCAGTTATCACGAAATTGAAAGAGAATCGACTACGATGATTAGGGCATGTTGGAAAAGAAAGCATAATGAAAACAGGTAGCCGAAAGAAAAGTAAAGAAATTTAGATATAAACTGAAGTGAGTGGATGATATGAATAAATATATAGAGGGGTTTGGCTGGGTTAAGTTGTGGGGATAGCGAGAAGTGGAGAAATATGTTTAGGACGGTCAACACTACTTGTCTGCAATTAGGCGATGATTTATCCCATAGGTTCTAAAAGGGTTTTGGGTCTAAAAGTTTTGCGTGTTAGATCACAGATAATTAGAAACCCAATCGACTCTGAGTGCGCCGCATCGGTAAATTATCATTTATATATCTAGTCAACCTTTTTTCGGGAAAACATTATCGTTATCCATTAGGATTCCGGTCATTAAGCTAATTCGATTCTATAGCACAACGTTCGCCTTTGCCGTTGTGTTGTTTACACATCCGATTTAATCAGTACCGAAGCGCAAACAGGAACGTTCTAAATATTATTTTTGAAATGCAATTATATTGTATTGTTTTGTCGATTGCACGTCAGCTTATACGTTCCGCTTTACTGTCTCAATAACTGCAAAGTTATGGTCGACGACTGTTTGATGAGAGAGAGCACTTATACCGCTATAAGTGCTCTCTCTCACTGCTTACAATAACATCTTACCGCCAACCATATTGCGTGTAGAAGACGTAATAAGATTTCATCGATATCGGAAGACCTTTTTGCCGCCGTTATACAGCTAAACATTCGGTATACTCGAACGCGAGCCCAATGGGCATTTCGAATAAAAGCGGAAAAGCTACAATGACCGGAGTAAACATTTGTTTAACAGCCGCCGGTAATGGTCAATTCGAAAGCCAAGGTATAAAAACCAACTGCGGCGGCAACCAGTACAACAATATTTATTGTTATAAAATATCCCTTCCTCTTAAAACCGTTCTAACGAGTTTATGAGCCTTTTATACCGTGAATCTTTTTAACTTGACCTGACCATACACGTTTTACTATATTATTTCTACATCTTTATTCAACACGCACGAAACATCTTAAACGTTTTTTTTTGCTGCTGGCGCAACATTAAAATTGCTGTTCACTCGCTTATTTCTTATTCATCTGAGAGACACTACATTCATCTATGTGAACTTTATTCATTTCAGTTGCTTCCAGGGTTCTTTTAGCTTAGACAATTAGAGATGTAGTGGTACTTAGAGCCAGTATTAGTTGGTCCAATTATCAAGTGACAAAACTGAACCGATATTCGGTTTAACTGACCCTTTTCACCGTAGTGTTCATCGCATAACTATCTTTGTATTCTGCGTCTTATGCCATACAAGTTGGCCACCATAATCGAGTTCTATCAGTCGCCATTTCTTTATTTGCGCCACATAAATTCATGTCTTTATTATCTACTCACTTTTTCTTAAATCTACCTCTGAATCACACCAACCTTAACTTCTTCAACTTTTTTTGCACCATTTTGTTTCATTCCTCTCTTTATTAGTATACGAATAATCTCAATATATTCTCTCTCCTTTTTTCTACTAGTAACGCCATTTCCGATTTGGTATTTCCTACATAAATCTCGACTTTATCGTTTCAACTACTTTCAAAGTTTTTCATTACCCTCGTTCGTTGCTTATTTCTGTATAATATGCTTGATGGCTCTCGCTACAGTTTAATTGCACCCTTTTTTCATCCAACACACATTTGGCCTTGCTCTTCGACTCATTCTATATCTCACACGATTCATCCCAAATACGCGAATTTACCATTTATCCTCCAAGCTTAACTGCAATTGCTCAATTTTATCTCTGATCTTGAACTCCGGACATTCTTCACACACGATTTTGTCTCAATATAGGCTACATTCCTGGTTGTGAGGGGAGTGTTGCTTCTGAGGTCTTTGTATAAACAACAGGGCGTGTACCCGTCGATTGACATGTTACCCTTTTCTATTGCATTGTCCAGTCAGCGGTCGTTCACGTCGACGTCGGCCAGCGAGGACATGGACGACGAGGACGATCGTGGTTGTCAGATCACGGTAACGGTGGCCGCCGACCAACCACCTTTGGTCGTGGTGGCTGCCAAGAATCCGGCATTGACGTTGGAGTTGACTCCGCCCGACCAGGAATACCACGGTAACCGGCGGCGTTCGATCACCTCACCGAAACTGGAACGCCAAGAGGCGTTCGTCATCAACGACATCATGGATCCGGCGGCCGTACGCGACTTGTTCCTGACCGTGCCCGACATGAAGCGCGACAGGGCGGCCAGCATGGACTCGTGCTTCATCAACAAGACCACGCCGGCCGGCAAGCCCGAAGAAGTGGTGCCGGTATCGCCCACGCAACTGCTCGACCCCAACTGCGGTCAAGCCACCAACAGTAACCTGAGGTCGAGATCCGTCGACATAGTACTACCGACGGACCAGCAGGCCAGATACAAAGCGTTGTCCACCAACAATCAAACGTCGCCTCCGTCAGCGGTGCCCGCGCACAAAGTACCACCCGACAAGGGGTAAGACAAGATATACATATTACCTATATAATAATATTATATCGCATAGTATTATATGGGTTATTATAACGAGATTCATTGCCAATAGATAAACTATAATAGAACTTGTTAGATGTATGTATAATTACCGACTATGATATACTTATACAAATAGCCTGTAAATTCGTCTATAAATAATATAATATATCCTGTCATTCATGGGAATTGCTTCACGCGTCATGCTCTTATCACTAATAAGGGGCGGCTAATTAAATACCGCTTATAAGGTAATAGTGATCCATTGTGTACCATACTACAGCACATTTTTTTTATTTATTTATTTAGATATGTGTAGACGCCCCAAGGATTACAAACGATTTAATATTGATTATCGAAATATAATAAAAGATAATATTTTTTTAGCGTTTATATATCATTTTGAGGGTCCATTTCGAACATACGGTTAGCAAAGGCCAACGCGACTTCTAGAGCAAAATTATACCCAAACGATTTATGATTTTACTTATATTTTTAATACAATTTGGTTTATTATTTTTGGTTAAACCATTTTTTTTTATTATGACAAACAACTTTGTTTTAATATTCTATCCAAGAGAAAAACACATATTTAATGTTTACATAAAAAGGTTATTAAATTACATTATTTTTATATCTTTAAGCATTTTTTACTTGAAATTAAACAACTCTTTACTTATTAAATATCGTATTACAATGTTCTGAATTCCACCATCATTGTAGACATACTTATGAATAACACTATGAGTGTGTATATAAAATAACTGTGGGTCACGAGAAGTCTCTGTAATAGGTTACAGAACACAATTTTAATGAAAACATTCACTAGCTGGCATGAATGAAACGTCATCATGCCATCGGCGCCAAGCCAAAGAATCCATATTAAGATACTAACAGCTGAAAACACTATTGTGGGTTTGATTAGTGGAGAAACTACGTCGGTTGTTCCTAATATATAATATCCAATGTATCGATAAAACCGATTTTGGATTTGGTCCAAAGATTTACATATAATTCCCTACACAGTATTGAACCATAATCTCTACTTAATTGGTCTGACCATAGAACAGTATAGAATTACAATACATAATTAAAACTGTTATACACTTTGAAGTGTATTTTTCTAGATCTTTGATCTAGGAAAATATTTTAACTCCTTTTCAGCTTTGCATCAAAATTAAAAACTAGTTGGAAATCAGCGTACAAAATATATTTTCAAAGCTAAATTGTATCGACAATTGACACGTGAAACTACAGCTTAAAAAACACCTATATGATCATTGACCAAATTTTAGCTTATGTTTAATCCTAAGCGTGGACACGTTTTTAGAAGTTTCTCTTATCAGCTATCACCAGATAAACATATCTATCAATGTTGTTTTTCGGTGTAGTTAAAAAGTAAAACGTATTAATCATTGTAGACGTTTACAAAACCGTCCCTTTCTGCAATATAAATAAGGGATGGGAATAATTCGAATTATCCAAATTTTATCATTTATATACAAAACTATACAATGGTGACTTAGTCCGGAACCCCCTCCGACCTTTCCCCGAGATCTACAAACTGAAGGTTGTTATTTAAAAACAAAAACAACACTCTTATTCTAAAAATCGACGAAACCGAACAGTTGGAATAATTTGAATTTCAGTCTCAACCCTAATAGATACAAGCTACTACATAATGATAATAGCAATGTATTTTCGCATTGGATTGAATACAAATACAGGTTGTTAAGAGCTGTATTATTATTGTTATTTTTGGGACTTTAGAAAATGCTGTTTTTATTTAAATAAAATAACAGTTACACGCTCCCTTGATTTTTTTTTATTCTAAAGAAGATTTCACGAGGTTAAACTAATATAACGATTTTTCCAAACTGGCGTTTGAAAAATCGTTTACGTTTTTCTCTTAATAATAATATAGTGTGTTTTACGATAACAATAATTGTAACATTATCGTTTCAAGCCGAGGGCCGGCGTATATATATATATATATATATATATATATATATATATAATAGCGGTCGAGAACAAAACGACGGCAAATGGATGTCGGCGAGTACAGCAAAGAATAAAGCGAAAAGAGAAATAAAAAGCTAATGATGTTTTAAAAAAAAAACAGCAGACAAAAAGAATAAGTAGACGGTAAAACAATCAATCATCCCCTGGTATCTGGTAAAAATATCGTCTGAATAAAAATTGATATATAGGATAAGAGCAACGGAAAAATATATGTATATATATTTGAACAGAAGGCAAACGTCAAATTAGGCAGTGTTTTTTCGCCCTTATTTGTTTTTTTACTGTTCCTTTCATCGCGCAATACTTTGGTTTTTTCGTTTGTACAATAACAACAATTAATAAGTGCACTGCGTTTTCCAATTAAAACGGCAAAAATTGCCAACACTAATATCAATGTTACCGTACTTAGGTTGTTGTTATAAATGGTTGGACATTTTAATTGTTATAAATTGCATTACATAAAATGTGTAGGCACAAGTATTTGTGATTACACGTATAAATGGTCAAGACCGAACAAGTCGATATGTAACTAGATTTTTTGTTTAAACTGAATTATTTTTAAGAAAAAGAGGGTCATTTGAAAATACAATTTAATTTTGTCCAATTATTTGTATTCGGTCATATAATATTAACGTTTACGTCATGGGATAATTTTTAATAAATTTGAGTTCAAAGTGTTGACAACGATTGACCCATTATCTGTAGTTTTGATTACACGATAATATAACAAACAATGCTCGACAGAGGTCTGCCTAAATTATTTTTAAGATATTCAAGTGCGCTAAAACGCAAGTAAATGCACGGAAAGTAAACTATATAAAATTATCGAGAAGTGGATACATATTAAAACAATTTTATGATTGATTGTACACACATTTAGAGCAAACAACACGGTCACCATTCGTAGCGTCGGCATGGGCTTTTGTAAATGGCGTATAATTTTATTTTTTCCCTTTTCAAAATGCACATAAGTCTGGTATCGGACGACCAATAGGAGGCAGGACTAGGAAACTCGCACTTGACCGGCGTTTGCGGTAAATCGAAACCCATAACTCAGTATTGCGAACGCGTTATTGAATAGAATAAAAATTACAATTTCAGCCGGCAGTACGGATAAAAGATAATACCATGGGAACGTTGAATTTTTTTTTATGACATGGAAGAATTGAAATATCGCGAATACGGTATATATTGAGTACATGCATACAGCGGACAAAAAAATATATAAAAGCCCGTTGAAGTGACGGGTCGTCCAGCTTTTCTCCCTTCGCAACAACATCGGTACTAGACACGTTTCGCGAGGGTTTTCCAAGAGTTAGGCCGGCCTTGCAAAACCACCGCGACGTTCAGGCTCATAAATAGTATGTGATCAGAAATTTTTTCTACACATACAAGCAAAAAGACCGTCGTTTAATAACCGTTTGACGTAGAAATTGTGTCTGTTCAAAAAAAATACCAGCTTAAGACGACCGTACGATTTTGTACCTAAATTGATTTCCAATGACAAACGCATTTGGTTTTATAGTTGCGCATATTCATCACTCGAGTATTAGCTAAATATACCTATTAAAATTTCCCAACAACATTTTTCCTTAAAAATATAACAGGCTAAAACCGTGTAATAGATGGTCCCAATTAGTTCAACATTTTAAGTTTTGTAAATTGTTTTATAAAAAAAATTGTGAAAAGAGATTAAAATCAGTCAGAAGGGAATTTTGTAAAAGTTAACATAGTCACAAAAACTAACGACGTGTCAACGATTTAGGTTGTGCAACAAATCTACGGTCTCAATAATTGACTAAAACTATAAAACAATAATAATATAAGTAAAATAAAACTAGAGTTTTTAAAAATACTAAGAATATTTATATATATATATTTGCTGTTATTGTGAAGGCATCATACAAAGTCATATGTATTGTAATAGATTAAATTCTGTACCGCGACAGGTACTTCACAAACGGTTGTTTTATATTAAATGCCTTAAGGTAATATGTTTTGTTGAATATTATGGAAAACTTTCTTCGGAACTTATTAAATGAACATATCATACAAATACTGCAGACTATGCCTTGTAAGGCTCGTCAACAAAACATTGAACAGGAAGACGTATCAAAGTTTTCAAGTACAGCCCTTTCCGCTGTCTTGATGACGTACAAAATTAAGTCCATTCAACATTTTAAAGTTAAGCAAATTACAGTAGAAACGATCAAGTTCTAATAGCGTTATGGGTTTTATTATTTTATTAAACTTAATCAACCGAAATGCGTTATTTATTTATTTCTGACAACGCCTAAAATGTTTTTGCAATAAACGTTTTATATGCATGGCTAAAATAATAGGCGATTTTTTTATTGCTCGAATTCCGGTTCGTTTTAAACTGATTACTATAAAAAACAAAAGTATGAAGGAGGAAACAATAATTCTTTTATATTTCTTATGCGCATTATACAGTATAATGTTTGTTAGGAAATTTTTATCATATACGAGTATTACACTGAACCGCTAGTTAACATAAAATTACACCATTGACTGTAACCGTTTTGCCGCCTTGAACTTTTTCAAGCTAACATTAGCTGATACACTATAAAAAAGCTTGAACTCCTTATATATTTTTTTATATTTTGACTAGTTTTTTTTGAAATGTATTTTGAGCACGACCTTTTTGAAATTATTTTTTCCTATTGAGAAATTCCGCTAAACATTTTTTTTTAAAAAACTATGCTATTTTTACTTATTTCATTTCTCAATACAACGCAATTTAAAAATGTTTTTTATAGTGTCCCGTCAATTTAGCGCGAACAATTGTACATAATTTACTTTAGTACTTTAAAATTTGATTTTATCGTTGCCAAAGCGTTTCCTACATCTGTAATTGTTTTCTATATTATACTTGTTCTGATTTATACTTACATGATTACATTTTTCATTCAGCTTGTCTGTCCTAAAAACAAATCCTTAAA